CCACTGCAATTTGTAAAACTTGAGGCTATTTATCATAATATTTTCCTAAATTATTTCAAGTTACAGTTATTGTATTTACAATGTATAGACTTTGTTTCGAAATGTAAAAATAGCATCCTGTATAATTTGAACTGAATATAGTTATAGAATTCTAAAAACAGCAGATATTTTCCCCTGGCACATGCTAGTTTTAAATATTTTATACAACAGTAATTAATTACTATATTCACAATTAAATATTAATGACTGTCTCCTCTGGGAACCTAACCAGTTTAATTAACATCAAAGAGAGTTTTTTCCATTGTATATGCAGTACTACTTCTTGCATATCTAATAAGGAATCAAAGAACTATGGGTCAAATGTAGCCAATGACACTTGGTTATGTGTCCTCCATAACTTTAATGGGCATTATATATTTACCTTTAAATACAAAATTTGGCCGTATGTGATATTCCACATCCAAAAACCTAGCTTAAGAGGAAATACTACAGAAAATTATGCAAGTTCTACTTATGCACTACTGCTAGTTATGAGAGTTCTAAACCAGAAGTGTATCTTGCCAAAAAGTTAGTTTTAACAATGCATAAATATAAACAAAGGACACTTGATGTTGCATTCTGGAAGCCTGTTTGTACTAAGCTCTGATTGATAATATTGCCACATAAGAAGAAATATGTGGGCTAAAATGCCTTATTCCATGCATTGTAAATTACATCTGATGCAGCATTTTTTCAGCACAGACTCTTTTTTATGGGAATACAGCCCTCTTCAAAGGTAGCAAAGATGTATAGAATACATAGTAGATGTTCCTGTTTTATTTTTGCTTTCTAGATTAATACGGAATTTCTAGCCTTACTGATTTAAATAAAAACCCTATGATAGTAGCATTAAGTAGAAACACACTCAAATTCTAAAGCAGTTTTCAGTAAGAAACCTTCCAGGCTGCTCTGACTACCCGTTCATTTTAGTTTGAGCAAACCTTTTTATATTAGTATCACTGATGAATCATGGATGTTGTTCACCAGACTAAGTTTCTGACCAACCGATAAGCCAACATTGTCTATAAATTAAAATGTGCACAGCATCTAAAAAGCGACGGGGGGTTGTAATAGATCCCTTGCTCCTTCAGTAGGATGGATCTCCAGCAGTCACAGGTCTGATTAGAGAATCACGGCCTCAGTCAATTAAGGGAACCAATACTGTTGTGTAGAGGGAAAAGGATAGACATGAACCTCAGTGATGAACTATCTCCTTTAGAAAATACTACCACATTTACCCAAATCAAACACAACCCTGAATTAAAGACAACTCCCTCCCCCCCATTACATTCTATACATGGAAAATGCATACGTTTGTTATAATTTTCCATGTATAGAATCTAATTATTAGAGGATTGATTTAAAATTGTCCCCAACACCACTGCAGCAGGGAAAATAGTGGTAGTGGGGCAGGCAGTGGGGGAGGTATTGGAGGGCATGCATATGGCAGGCAGTGGGCAGGTGGTAGGGGACAGGCAGTGTGGAGGTAGGGGGAGACAGGTACCTTGCCCCTTGCAGCCTGTCCTCCTCCCAGTTATTCTTGGTCTCTTCGCAGGCTGTACCCACCTCCCTCCTCCCCACCACTGCCTTGGGTCCCTGCCCCCTTCCCCCATCTCTCCTCCCCACAGTCTCTGCTCCCCTGCGCTCCTCTCCACAATCAGTTATCTTTATTCCAGCACTGGCAGGCTCCATCTTCAGCCTGGGGCATGGAACACGGCTACAGCCCAGCACTGCTGGCTGCAGGGGGAAGAAATAGGAGGATGCACAGTCAGAGTAAAGGGGCAGGCAGCAGCTAAATGAGGGGGAAGGTCATCTTGGAATTGAGTAAATACGACAATCAGTATCCCCATACAGAAAGGGTAGTATCTTTCAATATGAATTACACAAAGCTAGGCAGAAGTGCAATGTTGTCATTAAAAAAGTACAACAGAAAGGTGTTACAGTTCATTTAATCTTAGAGATCTAGTTGACTGTAACAGGCTATCAACTTGCATTTCTCCCTGTAACATTTAAAAAGGACCAAAGCCTGAAGAATGCCCAGTCCTTTATTCATGTTAACAACAGTGTTGAAAGCAAATCAAGGGTCAGCACTAACAAATATTTACAAAACAGATCAAATTATCTTTGTTCTCACAGAAGATAATGTGCGGCCACAGATGGATTCAATATTTAGTTTATTACTGAGTGCCAGGCTGCTCTGACTACCCTTTCACTTATTAGTTAAAACAAACCTTTTTTTATGTTGTTTGTATCACTGATGAATCCGTTGATGTTGTTCACCCAAGATACAGGCTTTCGAAAAATATTAGACTTGTCTGTAGGATAAGTCTGATTGCTTCCAAGTGTCTATTACATGTTAATTATCTATCACTGGATAAGAAAATTAGCATAGATGGCCTGCTAAGTTTATTTATGAAAATAGTGTCAATGCTTTACAGTTTACTTACAGCCTCAGATCCTTACTATCCCTTAATATCTATTAGTTCAAAACTACAGTAGAGTTCTTATTCTTATGACTAGTGCTTAAATTAAAATAAAAGTATACTGCTCAATCACAGGCAATGCTGTTCAATTGGTGACCTTATTGTAATATGAGAGCAGGAATATGGGGTTTTGTACCATTCCATATGTCCTCATTGGAGCAGCTAGTTAGAAAAGGAGAAGGTAAGAATACAGTACAGGCAGTGAATTGTTCCACATCCACTGTGATTTTAGATATGATCATTTATTTTCTGCTCATAAAGTTGATGTTACAGGTCAACATTTGTGAAGACAGAAAAATAAGTATTGTTGCACGGATTTCTCCATCAAAATGTCCTTGGTTTACAATTGTAAAGATGATGTTTTCCACAAACTCGCCTTAAAAACTTAACCTTGGCTCAGAAGGTTTCTTAAGTTATGCCCATATGGACTTAGCCATCTGTCATAGAAGTTCTGTGTGTCAAATTAAGCTCTTGGTGACACCTATTTGGCTCTACTGCTTGTGGTTCAGAGGCAAGGATTTAACTAATTGGCAATTAGAATACAGGTGACTCCATTATAGATGTGCTACCCTCTGTAACACCAAGAACAGTAAAAAGCAGTATGAGCTTACTTTAGACACTACAAATGAGCAGGTATGACCCTGAGTATGGTAAAGAAGATGTAAGATCATATCATTTTTACATTAATCACTTTTCTGAGCAGAAATCTGTTTTACCCTGCATGCTCTTTTTCCGTGCAGTACCAGAGAAAAAACATCAGCAATTGACATCTACATCTGCTTTATGCTATTTTATCTGTGCAGTGTTAAGCTCCCCCTCGCCCATAGAATCCATTGGTATTAACAAATAAATGAACAAGACAAAAATCAACAGAATTCCAAGTCCTTCCATGGACTCTGCTGTTTCTATGATCTAATTCAGGGCTCCTCAGTCTCACCTTTCCTTTCTTCAGACTAAAGGCTCCCCCTGGCGTTGGGAGACAACGCTTGTTTTTCATGTCTTCTACCCCTGATTGTGTTGAAAGGTTGTAAGTTGTGGAGCTGGGTTTCTCATTTCTAGGAGAGAAATTTAACCTTCCTGCTGGGCCTGACCAAGTGTGGGACTAGTCAGTCCCTCGCCAACTCAGACCCATTAGTAGAGGTGCACCAATATATCAGTTGTATATCAGATCGGCATCAATAAAAGAAAAATTAACATTATCAGCTATTGGCTTTTTTTTTTCAGATGTAGCCAAGCATGTTCTCCAATAATTTAATTACACTGGGACACCTGGGTTACCTCTCACCCATAGGGCCAGGGCCCCCAGATACCTAGGTTCCCTCCTGCAAGCTAGGCGACCCCAGATGCACCCCTATCCCCTCACTGGCAGGCCAGGCTGAGCTGGAGCAGAGCAGCTACCACGGTGTCCTGGGCACTGGCACGGCAGTGTGGACAGTGGGCTGAGGCGGGCACTGTAAAAGGCACTGAAAGCCACAGGTGACTGATGCAAATAGGGGCGGGTGGAGCTGAGCTGCCCAGCCTGGCACAGCGCAGCATGACTTAACCCGCAGTGCCCAGGGGGTCTGTCCCCTAGGGGCTGGGGGCAGAGCCTGGCAGGGGCCGGGACAACCCTTCTCCCTCGCTGTGTGTAGCAGGGTCCTTCCCCCAGCAGGAAGGAAACCTCTGGGAAGTAAGGGGGGAGGGGGTGGCACTTTAATTAAAGTGGTTCCAAGAGCTACTCTAATTAAAGTGCGCAGAGACCACCCAGCCCTGAGCAGCCTCAGGCTCAGGCAACTGTCCCCAGGCTGGGGTTGAAGGGAAGGGGCTGCAAGTGGCAAGGAGCACCTTTACATGTGTTAAGGGAGTGGGGAGACAGCACTTTAATTAGTGCAGCTCCAAGAGCCACTTTAATTAAAGTGTCAACATGGTGGGGGCACTAGAACTAAAGTTTGTTTGACGAGTTTTATTATTAAACATTGGTTTTCGGATTGGTATCAGCTGATACGGCCGGTTAATGATCAGCTATCAGTATCAGCCAAGAAAATCTTTATCAGTGCACCCCTACCCATTATGTCAGTGGTTCTTAACTTTTATAGATTTGAGGCACCTCTTGTTTGGCTCGAGGCACCCTTCTGAAAATGCCAGCTCTTAAATTTTCACACTTTTTTTACTACAAAAAATAACAGAACAACTCATCTGTTGCAAAGAACTCAGAAAGACCACAACAGGTTAGAATGTTTTTAACACTATGAACTCCTATTTGAAATCCTTGGGTTTAATCTGGTGAAACATGTTTGCACACTTCATAGTGCTAACTTGCATGGCACCCTTGAAAGGATCTCAAGGCATGCTAGGATGCTGCGGTACCCTGGTTAAGAATCGCTTTATTAGGCATTAAGTTATAAAGAACTACAATGAGAGGTCACAGGTGTAATATCTAAAAAACTTCTTTAATTCCAATTAATCAAAGACAGTAGAAAAAGCCATAATAAAACTTACCATTATTGTTCCTCCTGTTTGGGTTCTTAGAGGCTTCAGCACCTTTCTCTGAACAAAGAAATTAGGAAGAAAGAAAAGTGGTGGAACTTCTGTAATTGTTGCCACTACAAATGACCACTACAGAAAAAAGAAAGAATAAATAAAAATTAATTTCTGAATAATCTACTGTCTTAATACCAAATGTTCTGTAATATTCTGTAATGTATTACTACAGTGTGAAAGAATTTGTATGGCTGTAATACAGAGCACTCTCTTCCTACAAAAACAGCAATGTCTAAGACCAACTACACTTGGAAATTTTTAATATTAACTTCTGAGCAGCTTCCTTTCTTCTAACACCAGCAGGTTTTCAAAACATAATTTATAAGAAATATCACTTCTCTACTATCATGAGAACTAGATTTTGCATTCTTATGTTATATTATGACAAGAATATTAGTTTTCCAAATAGGTTAATAACCTAATTTTCAAATAGGTTAATAGCTCTAAAAATATCTAAAATGGTTCTTTAATGGTATTAACAGCTATCTGTGCTTACTACACAATCCAAAATATTTTTTCACTATCAGAATTGAAGTGAGATAGATTTGAACAAAGGATAACAACGGTTATTCACAAATACTTTGCATAAATTAAACATACTAAAGAATTTACCGATTCAAGCTCTGGTAAGATTTATTTTGGTTATTAAACATTCCTGGAATTGGTTTTAAGGCAAACGATGTACTAAATAATCAGATAATCAAGAATATGATTTGAAGGGTTACTCTCAAAATATTTACAATGCACAATCTTTTAAAATGCAAAACTTGAAAATGACTTCAAATAATCTATACTAAACTGTATAACTGACTGTGCCACTTCCAAATGCTATATTTCAAAGCCTAAAGCATAACTAAGAAGAACAGGGTATGAATTATGGGGCTGAGCCCCCTCATAAGAGACAAGGGCCCGCCTGTAAGATTTGAAAATCATAACCTGGGGGAGCTCCAATTTTATTAGGGCATCGTGATGGGCAGCCTTTTTTGTTTGTTTGTTTGCAGCCCCACCCCAAGAATCAAAGTGTAATTTGAACCCTGACTAAGAACATATAACCTCTGCATTTCTAATAACCACCCAACATCTCATCAGAACATTCAGGTGACTTAGGTTTTACAAATGGACAGATGCTGCATTCTTCAGCATAATGGAAGTTCAGGAAACTACACTTCTATGGCTATGTTATTTTGTGAGTTATACATAGACGGGATGAAATATAATCACTTATTCTGACTCTGGAGCTCTCAAATGTCACATGCTTACAACTTCATACAAAATACATCTTAAAGGAAAATTTAAGCAGCTCATTCAGATTTCATAATCCTTTAATATTTAAAGAAAGTTCCAAGGTGAGGTTCTATATCTCATTCCATGTCAGAAAACAGTTGAATTTTCACTATTTCAGCTTTCCATAATTAATATCATAATTACCTTCATTATCATCCTTTAATGTGGCAAGACTTATTAAGATCTTTTTAAAGGCCATTGTAGCTTCTGGATATATGTAACTTAATGAGACAAGTTCTGTCTTACTCCATCTTAAGTGGAATTTAAACATGTCAACTGGGCCTAGTATAAATTCTGGTATCAGGCATAAGATAGTTGGAAAACATAAGAAAACTTAAAAAAAATGTGTTCCTATCTTCCTTTACTTTGTGTCAGCATTTTCCAGCCATCTCTACTAAAGATACTGTGATGTAGTTTGTAAAGCTCTCAGGGGGACAGTGACAAAAGTCATTAAGGTATCTGAGGGCCCTGCTACACGTTCAAAATAAAGCTAAATAGAAACAAGTAATGGGGTTGTTATACATTTTCAAGCATTAACTTTAAAGCCGGTTGGCTCTTTTTATAGCTAGTCATTTTTAGCATGTGATAATTACTTTGTACATGTGGTTGGTCTAAATTTATTGTGTAATGAGCCAGTTAATTGTATAATATATGTAAAATGTAGCAGAGGCCTCATTGTAGCTTCTGAGATGCAAATTTGAGCCTCACTTCAGACCTGATCCCTTTCAACCCAGCTGTGAATTGGTGCCTGATTGTTCAGACTGGAGGTTCAGAAGCCACTGGACATAAACATTAGACACATCATCTTGCACGTCCCTGACTATGAAAGCTGGTATGCTATAACCTCACTAGCCCAATGAGCCTTTTAGTTTATGTAGACCAGGTGAGACTGACTAACCACTTCATCAGTGTAATCTGGTCAAGGAAATGTATAGCTTTAGAGCACTCAATACTGCCATTCACACAGTGAGAAGAAAAGAGAAGGTTGCAACTACTTAAATAGCAATCTGAAGGGGGGGGGGAAACTAGAAACAGGGGAGAGGAGAGAGTCAAATTAATCTGACTCAATTAATTTGTCTAATATAAATAATTAGTCAACCATTCTATCCTGGGATTTTATGACAACGCATCTGACTAAAACCTCTTCACTCACAGGTAAAGGTATTCACAGAACCCTTTCAAATAATTAAAGTATAACAACTCTCAGTGCATGACTATATACAATAGGTAGGTAGGTAGGTAGGTTCATTTCAGTCCAATTACCAGAATACTGGACAAGCTATGGGTGTGTAAAATTATGCAGACCGTAAGGAAAATCTTGAGACCAGAACAACATGGTTGAAGCTTTGGAAAATATATATTTCATTGAAACCGTTCTTCAGAGGTCATGATCTCAATTAAAACCATTTTCACTCCCTAATTTATAATCAAGCAATGTTTGTAGCACATTCACATAACTGTTGGCCTATGATTTTACAACTGAATAAAGCAGAACACACAGGATGACTTTAGGACTATGCTTCAGATTGCAAGGTGAAGAGAGCTAAATATGTAACAATAAAACATACAAATAAGCAAGTAAAGGTTTATGATACACTAAGTACTTTTCAAAGCTACAAAGAAAAAAATTAACCAACAGCAAATAACTTCTAAACACCTAGGTTTAGATACCTGATCCAAAGTACTCGTAAGGGAGTTGCAGGCAATTATTTCAGCTGGAGGGCCACTTACTGAGTTTTAATGAGCTATCAAGGGCCACATAGGTAGCCATGCCCCTTGACAGCTGCCCCACCCCCAGTCACCATACTGGGACCAGAAGTCCTGCCCCTAAACCCTGACCTTTGCCACCAGAAGTCCCTCCCTTTGCCCTGGAAGTACTCCTTTTGGGAAGGAGGGTGCTGTAATCCTGAAACCAAAAAAACACCCAAATCATGTACAAAATATAAAACTTCTGCTATAATTTATTTTAATTTTATTTTAAAATATTATTGTACTGATTTATGTGCTCACTAAGTGTATGTAGAGGTCACTGCATAATAACTCAAAATACAGTCCTATTGTATATTGTGTGTGGGTGGTAAGGGGGTGTATATGGAGGGTGTGGTGGGTGGGTGTGGGGTACGTGGTTGGGGTGGGAGAGAGATGGGGCCGGGCCACCGACTCCAACACGTGCGGTTCTCACTGACAGCCAAACTGGCCACTTCATGCAGCTCACACCTTGTACCTGTGCTGCATGCAGTGCCCATACAGCGCAAACCCTGAAGAGCAGCCAGTATGTGCTGCACACAGCCCGGGGGGCTGGCAGGAGTCCAGCCTGTGGGGTATGTGTTTGACATAGCCATGAAATTCATTTAATTATTTTGCTGTCTTGGCTGTTGATAGACCTTAAAGACATAATGGGATCTCACATACAATCCTAACAATTCCGTGCATGGCAGGAGGAGTGACTGGGATTAGGGATCCGATCCCAATGCTGCCATATGCTGGTATGGGGGGAGCCCAAGATCGTAATTGCTCCTCCTGTACTTGCAAGTAACAGACTTTGCCATCATGTGCTCCTGCAGCTGGCAGCACCACTCAGCTAACCGTAGCTACCAGGTTGGGGAGTACATGAAGCAGTTGGCTCCCAGCCAGGGGAGTGCACAGGAGCTCCCATGTGCACCTCTGGCTGAGAGTCCCAGTCAACCAACTGGTGTTCCCAGCCATGGGATCATATGAGAGCAAGGGCTCCATGTGCTCCAACAGCTGGGAGCACCAATTTATTGGCAATCCCAGCTTGGGAGTGCATGGGAGCCAAGGGGCAGGGAGGTCCTGCAGCTGGAAGCCAATCAACTGACAAGAGCCCCCAGCCATGGAAGCACATGGGAGCCAAGCATTCTGACATGCACCCTGGCTGGGAGCACCGATGAGCTGAATAGCACTCCTAGCCTTGGGAATGCACTGGAGTCTTGAATGTACTCCCAAGGCTTGGAGCACTGGCCATCAAGTTAAGGCATGGTGGGAACCTGCCACAAAGTTCTCACACATTTTGTGTGTACTAACAAACTATGTGGCTTAAACCCGGTTTATCACACTATTAACTGAATGAACATGTGGCCGGATCACTACTAAAGATATGACTAACCGGTTAATCACATATTAAGAGTAACGTCTATTCGGGGCCTTGGTATCATAAGCACTGAGTAAAGGTTCAATTTTTACCTCCCACAGCAGACTGGATAGCATTTTATCATGTTTAGAAAAACCAAGTAAATTACTTCCTATTGCAATCTTGTTTAGGAAAAAAATTAAAGCTATATTCTGCATTCCTGTATACCTTCTATGGGAACTGCATGCAAGGAGGAAATATTTCTGGTCAGACGTGTTTGTGGCTCCCACATACATACTTGACTATATAATTTGCTTCATAATGAATAGCCGTTATAAGGCTAGATCCAGATATGTTTAATAAGCTTGCTGCTTACAGCAAATGGCTATAATGAGAGTTGTTTATAACTAAAACAAAGCTATGAATTACATTTCTCAAATCTTATCCTAATGTTTTTCTTGTCAAATACACAACTAGATCTTTGATCAAACAAAGGAGCAGTAACAATAACTCTGCATTAGTTCCTCAGTGTGGGATTTTACCTCCTGATTTTTGAAAGACTTATTTCTCAGCCAGACCACTGCATCAGTAACTCTTATGCGTGAGTTTTCAATTCTAAGGTGAATCAGAAAGCTGTGATTTGTGATCCTAAAATGTTCTAGCTCAATTCTGTTTCATTTTAACACATAACCTGTTCTTCTTA